ATAATATTGTAATTGACTAATAATTATTATTGTAATCAAGCTAATCATTACCATAATAATAGTATAATTACAATTATGTAGTAATAAGTGTATAGCTAAAAGGAAATTTATATTATTATTATTATTATTATTATTATTATTATTATATAACAATAAAATAAAATTACAATAATAATGATATTAATAATAATATAATAATAATCAAAACAAAACTATAGACAAAATAAAATATTTAAAAAAAAAAAAAAAGACAAAGGGGAGCCACACGGGCTGCCCTTTGTAAATCGGGTGCCACATAAAAAATGTTTGAAAAAAGGAGCTCTTGAACTCCTCTATATAAGAGGAGCAATGCTCTTCCTTCAAAAATAATTGCTTGCCTATAATGCATGTGGGCAAATATTGATAAGTCAAAATGCTCTTATATAAAAAGTCTTAATGGCTTCTTATTTTAGTTTGTTTTTAAATTAATTTATTTATTAGGGGATTTTGGAAAAAGATTAATCTTAATCTTTCCCCAAAATGTATAAGTGTTGTTTTTGTTTTTAGCAGTTTGGAGGAAATTGTGGAGTTATTAAATAATATTTTTAGTGTTTTGATTAAAATAAAATGTTAAAATGACGGATTTGTTAAAATTTTAACGAATTGGTCAATAATCAAACATGGTCATTATCTAATAATTAATATGACAATTAACAAATTAATTGTATAGTTATTAAAGTTCGTTTGGAAAGTATGAAAATGACCCTACTTTAATCGCACTGTATAATATTTTATGTTCTAATTTAAATAGTTAAACATCGACTCAAATATTATTAATATATTACAACAAATTCATTCTGTGCATCGCACGGGTGAAAATACTAATTACAAGTAATAAAAGTACATATATTTTTTATACATTGATTTTGTTTAAAGAAAAAATAAATAAAGAAAAAAAGAATAATATATTTAAGTGCTATTAGATCAATTGACATCGTTTTTATGAACATTGAGTATTGTTTTTTTGAACCTTAATTTGTTTGTTTTCTTAATAATCATATAATATTATTTTTATGAATTTAAGTTTATAAACATATATTTTTATACATTAATTTTTTTTAAAAAAATTGATTTATTATCCAAGCCCAATCCCAATAAAGTGTATTCCTAAACCCTAACAGCGTGTTTGGTTGGAAGAGGGAAATTACGTGAGAAAGAAATTGCAATTACGTGGGAGAAAATTACTGGGAATAAAGTGGGAATTTAAATTCAAGTGTTTGGTTTACAGGAATAGAATTACTGGAAATTTTAATTCCAATGTTTGGTATACATGGGAATTGAAAGGGAATAAGTAGTATAAAGTCCAAAATGTCCATTATTGTTGTAGTTAAATTTAGGTTAAAAAAAGGGAGGGGTAATTTTGTCTCATTACCGCCTCCACCGCCTACGGAGCAGATTTTGGCACAACAACAATCTATGCAAGGGGAGAATAATAATGGCGGCACTGATGATAATGATGATGATATGGGTTTGAATGAGGATCCCGAACTACTTGCTATCCAACAACGTTTGTTGGAGGAACTGTTCATAGTTTAATTTGAGGGAGGGTCTTATATATTACCGATCGAAGAGATTTTGCAACCATCTATGCAGGCCAGGGAGGGAATTGAAATGCCTGTCATATTAGTTTATTCTCCTTTTGCACCTACTCAATATTGACTACAGATTTTGATGTGTTTAGTTGATTACCAGTGTTTTTGTTTCACAGATTTTAGTATATATTTTGTTGTGTTTGCTTATGCATGTATGTGTGTATGTAATTAGTGTTAATCCTGTAACGATGTTAATTGTGGTTAAGTATGAAAAACTCGACTTAATTTCTTTTACCTAAGCTAAGCTAGCTTTTCTGTCTGTGGCCTGGCCGGCGTTATGAGATTTTGATTTTGTTTAAAGGCTGAAAATGAAATGGCTGGCTGGGCTCTTTGGCTTATATCAGCTTTGCAGATTTCTTACCTAATAGAGGCATACAAAAATCTCAAACGGGAGAGCTTCGATAGTGTGTTAGTGTCCCTAGATGATAAAGTCGAAGAGTTCAGGGAAGGTTTTGAAACCATCAAATTAAAGCTAAGTATCCCTACTCTCATTAACAAAAACAAATACAAACCTTATAAAGAAATCATGAATAATAATCAACAAGCAATTACATAGAAGGTGTGTTTGATAAATAGTTATTATTAGCCGATAGCTATTAGCTAGCTAATTTGGTTTGTGGTTACATGCAAAATGACTTCTCAAAAAACTAATCGAAAAAGTTACTTTGAGCATGTTTTTGAATTTTAGAGTTTTGGAACAATAAGTTGTTACCAAAAGCTAATTAATCAAATTGTTAAACCAAATCGAAAAGCTAATAGTAGTCATATAAGTCAAAATTAGGGCAAATTATGAGGTGGACACAGGTCCAAAACGTGGGCCTAGAATAACGGTGCCGTTAGTGGCACCGCTCCTCAACAAATGATTTTTTTTTTTTTTTTTTTTTTTTTTTTTTGTTTGAAACAGCAACAGCAAAATACTCCACCAGCTGGCTTGAAATGTTACTTCGACACTGCTTGGAAACCTGGATCAGGCACGACAACATTTGGTGCTGTTCTTCTAGATGAAACGGGTAGCTTTATTGCGGCAACAAATGGACAGCTCCCGTATTGTGAAAGTGTGATCACGGTAGAGGCGCTAGCTTGTAAGGAAGCCTTGTCTTGACTAAAGAACACATAGATTATAGAAGTTACTTTCTTTTCACGGATTGTTCGACTCTACGGAACTATTTTACCAATAACTCTACCCAACCCAGAGCGTATGTGGGTGTTGTTATTCACGATTGCAAAGCTATCATGGCAACCTTTACTTTATGCGTTTTACTTTAGGTTCCTAAATGTTTAAATATTTTAGCTCATTCTTTAGCTTCAAAGGTCTCAAACTACAGTTCCACTATGTATTGGGATTCTGTCCCTCCTGACTTCATTATTATGCATTTACAGTAATAATATTTGGCCGTTGCTTTAAAAAAAAAAAAAAAAAAGTCTACAAAAGTTCATAATTTTTTGAATACCACATGACTTTTAAAGACTCATCTTGACTGAATACCACCTGACTTTTAAAGACTCTAAAAATTTGAATTGAATACCTCCAAAGTTTTAAAGTTCATAAAAGTAAACTCTATATGACACCACCCGAGGAGCAAAAGATTCGAGAGTCCAGGCTGAAAATACATGCATAGATAGTGGTCTAATGCCAAGGCCGACGACGGAAGCTCGGGACGGAGCCAAAAAAGTCATGATTGAATACATCCCCTTAATTTCAAAATATTAAATTTTAATATGTAAACAAACATATTTAAATTTAAAACTATTTAAATTTTATGAAGATGTCATTATTTTTTTTTATATATTTAATCACTAGCTTAACCGTTCTTCAGTTTTCCACTTCTAGTTTATAACTTTTCAATTTTTAGCTAGCATTTCAGACAAGTTTGTCAAACATAGCCTACTTATCATCATGGTGGTGCATGTGGTCCTTAGCTTGATTCACCCCAAATTTTGCAACACGTACTACTGTATTGATAGGGATATACCCCCCGGGCTCCGGGTTCCACGACCGGCGTCCGCCTTCTTCCCGGTTAGAGCGTTCATACCCTGCCCTGCCTGGGTCAACCGGTCGTCCGAGGGTGTACTTTCCGACCTTCTGCCTTCCCGGGCGCCAAGCGCCGAGTGATCAGGGCGACCACATGGTAACGGTCGGGAACTGGTTGTATGGGGGCCCTTAAGCCCGTGAGAGGTCAGGCTATGGATGCCGCGTGGCAACCAACCATGCGCCCTGCTAAATGCTCGGTGCATGCTCGTCACGTGCCCGTCATGCCGAGAGCCTGAAGATACCTACTTTTACCCCCTATATATAGTGCATTAAATGTAGCGTGAAAGGGACTTTTGGCACAAGGCAAGACTGGAGCTTCCCGACTCGTCTCTAAGAACCCGGTCCTTGCATGCGCCCGTATACGTACTACACCCTGTATAAACAATATCATGTATAATATGTGAGATCTAAATATGATTTTTAGTTTTGTTATATACTTACAATACAACTTTGGTTTAGATACTATATTAAAATTTTGCATATAATAAACTTTTAAGTAAAAATTATATATGCCAATAACCATGTGATCCAAGATGGCTGAGAGTAAGTCGCGTGGATTTTATCAAGTATTACCCAATAGTTATGTTGTGCAACTGTGTGCATCATGCATAGTGCACACAGTTGCAAAACAACGTCGTTTTGACTAAAAACGCGCATCTCATTTAAAAAAAAAAACACAGCATAACATTTTGTATGTTGTATTTTCATTTTGCATCCAACATACAAAACATTTACCAACTTTATGCAAAGCACAACAAATTATGCTGTGCATCCGTATGCACCATGCATGGTGCATACGGATGCAAAAATGACGTCGTTTTAGTAAAACGCGCGTCTCCCAACATATGAACTAAAATTCCATAATCGATGAACTATAATTCCATAATCGATGAACTATAATTCCATAATCTAATCTATAAACTAAAAATTTCAGAATGAATGAACTAAAATTCCATAATCTATAAACTAAAATTTCAGAATCGATGAACTACCATTCCATAATCAATGAACTATAATTCCATAATCAATGAACTATAATTCCATAATCTTTGAACTAAAATTCCAGAATGAATGAACAATATAATGTTGTTGCTGGGAATCGAACCTGAATTTTTTTAAAAGGGGAGACACGCGTTTTTTAATAAAATCGTTTTGGCATCCGTATGCACCATGCATGGTGCATACTAATGCACAGCATAACGAGCACCTAAATAAGGACAATCTTAAATGTAAAGTGGGCCGCAGATAATTCTTCAAAAGAACACCATCGTAAATTGCCAATTACCAATGACCCATGTCAATTCCAAAAGCCAGCAAATTGCAGGAAAGGCAACTCAGAAAACAGCAAGATCAAAGTGCTAAACCATTAACAGACGCAACAAATTAATCATCGTTTACAAATTCAAAACATTGTACTCAAATCTAGACATGAAATTACATATATCCAACTCTTTGTACTACAAAAAGCCATTTCAAAGTCCTACAAAGATTATAAGTGCCTTTAAAAGGATGTTCATAACCACACCGACTTGGGGAAAGAAACTAGATAAAAACCCGCCTGCATCCAGGATCAACCCACGAGAGAATTCTTTACCTGTCTAGGCCTGTAAAATAAAAGCACATTGCAATATCATGTTATGAATTTCATCCTCAATCATGTTTTGATGAGTTGGGAATAGAAATTTTGCTTCAATATCGTGTTCCAATTACCTTGTTGGCAATGTTGTTGGAAAGCCAATCAAGCCCTTCATAAAGACCTTCTCCAGAGGTTGCACAGGTGCTCTGGATGTACCTGCAAACAGAAAAGGCACAACATAAATACACTAATCCAAGAAAAGAAAATAACCAAAGGACTAAAATTTAGGAAACTATACCAGTGGCGCTGCCTGAGAGAGTGGAGACCAAGCTTATCAGTGATCTCAGCAGCATTCATTGCATTTGGAAGATCTTGTTTGTTAGCAAATACAAGCAGCACAGCATCACGGAGCTCATCCTAGAACAATATATGAGTAACAATGTTAGACAAATAAACTTTATACAATCCAAGCTTTCCAGATCTGGCCGAATATCTTATCCATTTTAGGTATATATTACCCAAACATCTCTTTAATTTTTTAAATTTTTCTTTTGGTACATTTGAGGTGGATGAGAGTTGAACTTATAACACCTTTTACCTAGAGTCCCAAGCTTATGCAGCTAAACTACAAGGTCTTTGACATTTAAAAAAGAAAACTAAGGCTCTCTTTAAATTAATCAAATGAAGAGAGAGAGAAAAATCCCCGAGCTGAGAGAGCACTGAAGTTCTCTCATTCTTAGTTCTCTCATTCTTCCTCCTCTCCAGTCACCCCTCTCTTTCCGCATGCACTCTAGCAAAAGTATGCTCAATCTTTAAAAAGTGGAGATTATTTGTTATCAAATTTTTTTTTGTTCTCAATCTTTAAAAAGTGGCGATTATTTGTGATCAAAAAATTTTTTGTTCTCCAAGAAAGTAAATCCTTATGATAGAAATGAAAATTTAACATTACAACCTGTCATCCTAATTATGCTACACTATATGCCATTGCCTATGCTAAAAACTAGCACCAGTACCCTATCAAATTAATTGTGCATATTATTATGGCACTAACTCAACTACACAATAACGACCAAGCTAATCATGCTATAAATTATCATTTCATGCGTCAAAATGTCATGGCTTCAACACGTACAAAAATTAATAGACAGCATGATAGATAACTGAAGAAATAATAAAATCATAATAATCAAATTCATGAATTCAGGGTGTGATCCCTAAACACTAATATTGTCAATAATCAAATACTACAAAATAACTCCCTAATTTCCTGAGGTGTCTTTTACACATTTTGATCAGTTCTTAACTAATATTACCTCATTATGTCAAGCAGTGACAACTAAAAACTTAACTAAGCATCAATAACTTCCAGTTTTAGAAGCTTAAATGAGCATTCTCACAGCAATACAATGATACATAGGCATATAAGAGAAGCATCTTACTTCATTCAACATCCTGTGCAATTCATCTCTTGCCTCCACAATACGATCTCTATCATTGCTATCAACAACAAAGATGAGACCTTGTGTGTTCTGGAAATAGTGCCTCCACAATGGACGGATCTGCCAAGGGAAAATTGAAAGAAGAAGACATAATAAATCAATTAAGAGATTGCACTGCAACACATACAGTTTACTTGTACTTAAATATATTGAAGTAATAGTTCTCAAAACATGTGTATTGTATAAAATAGAAAAATAGATTTAACTGTTGAAAAGAGAAGATAGAACTTAACATACCTTGTCCTGGCCTCCAACATCCCAAACTGTGAAGCTGATGTTCTTGTATTCAACAGTCTCCACATTGAAACCTGCAGGAATTTGATTATTACAAGAGCTATATCAAAACCACCAGAGTGAGATGTGATCACATAAAAGCTGAATGCAAATGCAATGAAAATATTGTAAGATCGTATGGAGAATAATGAGATAAATTGGGGAAATCAATTAGGAAACTTCCTCCACGGCAGCTATATACTTTCACAAAGTGTAAATATTTCATGTCAAAGCCATTTAATATTCATATGAACATATCCAAGTGATAGCATAATGCATGATAACCAAGACAAATGGAAAACAATCAACCCTAGGAACTATCTCAAGCTGTCAAAGTGTATTAGAGATGTGTAAAAGCCACACTTAATATAAAGAAAAGAAAACTTCAAAGAGCATCTTGGTTAAAGACCATACCAATGGTAGGGATGGTAGTCACAATCTCTCCCAGCTTGAGCTTGTACAATATGGTTGTCTTACCAGCTGCATCAAGACCAACCATCAGAATACGCATCTCCTTCTTGGCAAAAAGCCTGCTGAAGAGCTTGGTGAATGTCAGCCCCATTTCTCCTTCTTCCTGATGATCCCTATATATCATCACATCAAATCACAAATCACAAAATCAGATCAAGGATACAAAATCGCATGCAATTTGATGTCAAATATAAGTAAATCAATGGATCTGATTAACAAAAACAAAATGCACAAGCATATAAATTTTTTCCCAGTAGTAACTCAGCTCTAATCCATCTCAACAAAACAGAATCGAACTTGCTGGATCTCATTCTCTAATTCACAGTTTCATAAGCAGCAGTAATACAAGTACCCAGGAGATCACATCGTATTCACACACCAATCGTTAGATCGGGGTACAAAAACAAAAATTTAATTGATGTTACAGGTAGAGTTTAATCAGAAATCACAAATCTCTGAATCTGAAACAAACAACCTCAAATCAAATTCAATTTAGCTAAAAGCCAATCAATTTCAGCTTTTTTTCACATAAAACGAATTCCAAATAAAACTGAAGAATCCATCCGCGATTCATCAAGCATTACAATTCACGAATCAAACACAAACACCTCGGTATCAAACGAGAAGCGCACTTCTCAGGAAAAATAAATAAAATAAATAGCAAAAGCAAGCATAGATATACGATACCTATATAACACACATGATCTGCGTATAACGATTGAAGCTTACCTGAGAGAAGCTTATGAAAGAGGGATCTAGTGAGAGAAAACGCGAGAGAGAGAGAGACAGAGCCAAAGGGAGAAATGAAGCCTTGCGATCAACGCGTAATATCGAAGGCTGAGAATCAGGAAATCAGAGGCAATTAAATAAAGGGAGACGGGTGAGGTGAAATTACAGCGTTGCCATGGCATTTTCGGTTGTATTCACGGAAATGCCACCATGTTCAGCGGTTGTTGCATGATCTACCGTTGGTTGATTCAGGTACGCTATCCATCCAATCGTGTTTCGCCACGTCAGACGAGTGGTTTCTTGGTCCGAATTCAAAGATTCTAAGGGCAGACTAGTCTTTCTCACACTGGTTTTTGACATCTTTTTTTTTTTTCTTTTTTTCTTTTTTTTGGAAAACATTCTGGTTTTTGACATCTAGAAAGGGGAAAGCCATCTTCAATAGGAAAAATGGACTCTGCCCTATTAATAGTAAATGTTGCTGGCATAGTCACTAGTTTCACTACCCTATTGAAAGAGATATTCTTACCTATCACTTTTTCTATTAAATTAGCAAAGACTCGTGCCTTCTCATCTAGACATTCATGAAAAATTATGTATTTTATTTATGTTGTATTGAATATTATTAATATTGGTTCTTATAGTACTTGGTGCAACAAACATACCATGTGTGTAGCTGTACATTAAAAAATATATATTTAATAATATTAATAATAATAATAATAATAATAATAATAATAATAATAATAATAATAATAAAACATTACCCACTGAAAGCATGTATGGAAAAAAAGTTTAAGATGTTGGAAGGTCTGAATTAGATCCGTTGTGCACACATAAAGACAAAGATCTAACTGATAGCCTGATTGTGCGACTCGCAATTTACCTCCACATAGGCTCTAAGGGCGGGGTTATTTGGGTTTAGGATTAGTTTAGCGAAGTTGGATCACCTAAGTTTTTTAAAAAAAAATCATATTTTTTATGCTAATATGCTACGGTATTAATTATAGGCACGGGTTAATAATAGGCTCTACAAGCTAAAGTATATGCATCTAAGTATGTGGAAGGTCAACTGACCAACCGAACCACTCAAGATGCTAGCTAACCTCTCCAACAACTTCTTCTCCCAACTTTAAAGGTCTCTGCACTCCAGCCTGACAGAGCATTTAGGATTTGAAAGGATGTAAATCACAGTGACTCAATGGCTCACCGTAGACAGAGTCAAATGCCGGTGTGTATAAGAGATATGCCCACTTCCACTTTAGACATAATACTCATACTGGACACTGCTGCCGTTGAGATTTTTATCTACTGAACCATTAAGCTAAATCCACGCGGGCACCTCCCCGACAACTAAGTGAACATTTGGAGTTGTTACAATTTTCTTAGATTCTCGTTGGTACCAAGAAATGGTAAATAACACTATGTATTTCCAAAAAAGTGTTCGAACTCTATTATACACTTAAGCCTATAGGTCTATAACAGAAGTTGGGGTTGTAGTACATCAATTTTACACCAACACAAGTATAAACTTATCATGTTTCATAAAGCTAGTCGACTTGATTCAAAGACATATATGAGTATTAACTTGAAAATTTTTCTGTTTCTTTGGAGAGAAAAATAATTGGTAAATATAAAAGAAAATAGAAAAGTGAGAAAGGAAAAGAGAGAACTGAGGTAAATGCGGCAATAATACTAAAATCTTAAATATTACATTTGAGTATTTTTTGTGATTTCATGATATGGTATAACTGATAAGGTTTTAACTAATAATTACATTATATTCTCAAACTAATGGTGTAGCAATTAGTAGGGCAACAAAGTCTATATACAGTTGTAGAAAGAAAGCCATATCAAAGCTGGGATAGAGGGAAGTGAGCAGATGGATTTTTTACTTAAGTTCTAGTGAAGTTAATAAAGCCGTGGTCTTTGCAGAAACCTAACAAGTAACAATTGTGCCATAGATCACCGCCAATACTGTGCCCAGCGGTGAATGGTTTCAACCATTTGTGGGAATAATGCGCTGACACTCTCGTTGATGAGGTCCTGGAAGAAATGTATGCACTCCTCATCATCCAAGTCTAATCGAAACTTCTCTTGAAGCTACACGTATCAGAGAACCCAGGTCAGAAGGAGAGGAAAGCGTAGCCAATAATAAGAGAAGATAATTGAGAAGAAGCCACCTTAAGAATGCCTTTTTCAGGATCAGAAGCTATATCTGGGATATTGGAACCCGCCATTAGATGAAACAAGTTCAATATTAAGTTGCTTGATTTCCGGAGTATATTGTATGCTTCACAGCAATAGGATTTGAACCTCGTGTAGTATTGGCTGCAAATTGGAGAAGTAATAAAGGGTTTCAAACAATAGCTTTCTCAAGCATAGGGTCACTGTATCTACCAGGAGATATATATTCAGAACATCGTTTTTTTTTTTGTAATGAGAATAAGCATTATTTTTTAAAAAAAATGCTAGAATTAATACCTTTCTGCTCCACCCATAGCTTCAACCATTTCTTTGCAAAGCTTCATAGGGGGTGGAAAGGGCTTTGGATCTTTGCCTAAAATGAAACCAAAATCAACATGAAATAGTCTGCCATCATCTCTGAGTAGAAGGTTGTCAAGATGCCTGCAAACCAAGAAAGTTCATTAAGTGCCTGATGTATGTTCATTGAGTATTCAGTAAAAGAAAAGGTTGGGTGTTGGCACAACAAGCAAGAATTTTTGGGCAGTTCCAATTTACTGAAACTCACCTGTCTCCAATACCCAATATGTAAGTGATAACTGAGTAGCCAGCACAGCTTTTAATAAATGTTTCAAGACATGTGGATGTAATGCCAAATGGTCCATCCTCATCAGGGTGCCACTTCTGCAGATAGCTTGTGATGCTGCGATGTTCAGAGAGAATCTGGAAACAATTAATGATTATCGTTAGTTATTATAATATGAATTGTTGTAGGGCCGCTAACCCATGCCTAAACATAAACCATTTTGATTAGTGATCTGAAATTTATTTGTGGGCTTTTAATATTACTACAGATGTCTATGCAAATGCTCAGTAGAAAATACATAGCCACAATTCCAGAAAAAAAAATAAGATGCCTCCCTCTCATGTCTGTGATTCCTCCAAAATAATATTCCATAAAAGATAAATAATGAAAGTAAAGAGGAAAAATCAGGAAATGATACAAAGGTTACCTGCGCCAATGACTTTGATGGTATGAATTCCATCATGCCTTCATCATGTCCAGTTGCCAGAACTCGGTATGGAGTTAGATGCAGATCCAAATTCTCCAGTTTGAGCAGTCGGTCCATAAGAGACACCATCTGAACAACCTGCAACAACCACAATCATTATTTTACCTTGTTATTCTATATCAATCTCACACTGACTTGAGCAGCAGTGAAGAAGGAACAGGACAGGCATCATTCGACAAACCACCAAATAATCAAAAAGATCTTTCAAATACAATGTGCTATTAATATAGAGCATATACCAATTGGTCTTGCCGAAGATCATCGCCCTTCTTGAAAATGATCTTGCAACATCCACCATTTGCTGTTCGGAATGCTAGTCGTAGTGGATGCAATGCACTTTTGAATATTGATGACTCTGATGGAATGATCCCACTAATCAGTACACCTGGGGTGAGAGGTGATCGTATTGGCTGAACACACACCATCATGATATTCATTAGATGCTTGATGGCACAGGTTCTAGAGCTAAATTTATAAGAAAGTTCGAAAATAAAAGCACCTCATCAAAGTAAGTAAGCTCACTAAGAAGGCCAGAAAGAAGATGCCTAAGCTTTTCAATCTTCTTCTGTGTCCCACCACGGACATTTCTTACATCTCTCATTATCGAACATAGTTGAGCTGTCAATTCAGTCTGCCGCACCAGGCTCTGCCATAACTTAAAACCATCTTCATCTCCATTTACACTTCCTCCCAACTGCCGTTTACACAAAATAATAGTAATTATACAACATTAACACTTGGGGAATCTAGAGTTGCAAATTACTCCATAACATACTTCCTTTGTCATATATAACATCCACTTTATTTTCAGTTTGTGGTAAGAGTAGACTGATTATATTTATAAATTATTTTAAAAGTGACTTTTTCAAAATTTCAATTTTATACAGCAATTATAAATATGGATCCCCCTCGCTCTTCAGTGCAAGTGAAAAGCCCGTATTTTAGTAAATGCAACAGACGTTGGGAGAGATTAAGGTGGCGACTCCAATGCAATGAAGAGAGAAAAGCCCCATGGATTCTATTCTATATATTATCCATAATCAATATGTTGAAGCATTTTTCTTGAAGGAATTCAATGAAATGCTCTCTTAAAATTTTTTAGAAAATAGTGCTAAAGTAGTCTAATAAAGGCCTTATATATGATACAGTTAAGCAGTATATTTCAAAAAATGGAAATCACAAACCTTCAACATGCTCTCTTCCAGAATTTCATATGTGCAATAAAAGCGTTTTGCATATGCAGGATCATGCAGCTCTACTGCAACAAACCAACGAAGAAAGCTGGCCAACTCGATATTGCGTAATGCTGCAAAGAATTAAAATGGTGAAGCACAATTCTAGAAGCAGCAAACGCACTCACCCCCCCCCCCCCCCCCCCACCAACTCCCTCCCCCCAATAAAACAGTCCTAGAAGATTTTGATGTTTATTACAGGAAGCATACATCGCTGCACAAGGAAATGAGAAAGACGAGATTTATCAGAGCGCTCAAATCGAAGAGCTTGAACCAACTGGAGAAGGTAACATTGAAGCTCTTCATCATCAGCCCTTTCAAGAACACTGACAGCATAGGCACGGACCTATAAAACCATTCAAAAAAAAAAATGATGCATAAAGAGCTCCATGTATACAGATCAACAAAATGCATGGAATTTCTAGCCAGATCAACCATTCATCTCAAACTCAAATTACACCTACCCTAGAAGCATGGTACCAGTTGCAATGGAAAAGCATATTGTTGAAATGACTAGCAACATACTTGTGATAGGGAACTAGCTCTGATGCAATAAGGAAACTCGATACATAACAAGTACTCCGTATATTGCAATAATAGCATGTGAACATAAGACCCACAAAAACTAGATATGTACCCCATAAAAAAGGAAATCTAAAACCTCAAAAAGAAAGACCCGTTCAATAAAATGGCTTGCATCTTTATAGTAGTGATTTCTGTAAATCATAGGGCAAATATTTTTCCTTGTTGCAAAACTAACAAGTTCTGCTGAAGAATACTCTTAATAAGAAGAATGGGAAATCAATGGCAACACATCCGGGGTTGAGAAATTATTTCTCCATGGATCTTAATCTAAAGCCCATAGTACAAATGCTTTAAAATATCATCTTCAGAGCACCACTTGCCTTAGCTTCATCATCCATGCTCAAAGTGATAAAGTAAAAACACTTGTTAAGGTATATCTAATACTAACCTCCTCACTTTCAAAAAGGGGAGAGAGAAGTTCCAATGCATCACACATATCAATTGTGTCCCACTTGTGCATTAGCTCTAACGCCTGCTTTGCTTCCTGCAAGCAGATAAGCATATATTCCTTAGTCTTATAGACTTCAATCTTACTGCGGGGTAATTTTAAGTGTGCAAATCATATTTAAGGAGGCAGGGTAAAATTTTCTCATTTAGCAGTCTAATCTTTCCAGTCTCAGGATCAAGAAAGGATTGAGAGTATGCATTGGAGAAAAGGCCTTGAATTAATACCTGAACATCACTCCATTCAACACAACGGAGAAATTTTGTCAGAGCACGCTTCTCAGACATTAATGAAAAACGAAATTTCCACAATAGTTGCCTCTCATCTCCACTCAGAGCCCTTGTTGGTGGGTACTTTAATATTCTTTGTATTGATCTATAAACCATGTATAGCTTTGCTCATTAGTTTCCATCACAGAGAAGGAACACGACAATGCAAAATTGAGAAAAACTGAAAACTTGGGTACAATAAAACTTTCAAAATTTAAAAAATTAAAAATGGCATTATCAAATTATAAGAATAGTACTATTATCTAAACCTCTATTAGTGCATATAGATTTTGATTCTTATTTAGAGCATACTTTCTTTCAGTAGAGCTTGGTTTAAGATCTCTGTCAATGATTCCACGATTTAAGCTCCTTGCAAGCTTTAGCTGCTTATGCTCTGAGGGATTTATCTTTCCAACCTCTGGGTCATACACAGTAACCAGCTCATTTGTTGAAGCTATAGGAGATGGTAGTAAGAAATTTGCTCCTGACTCCTATATAGCAATTACAAATGCGTGAATAACATTTGTATTGAAGTTTGTATTGCAATAATAATTAACATTCAAACTCAGGAAAAAATTTAAAATTTATAAAAATAAAAAATTCTTTTTAAAAAAACAATAAAAGATTTTAGTGAGGAATTACTTTGCACTTTTTTTAAGCAATAAAAAAAATTCTACGCAGTAGTAGCATATTGGTACACTCAGTAGCACTAAAACAGTGTGAGCATTAACATTCATACTCAAAACCAAATACAACCAACTGGCAAATAAAAATTTAAATTAGCATCCATAATTATCTAGTTAATACATAACCAATCATCATCAATATGCTACCCAAAAAAAAAAAAAAAAAAAGAACAACCCCACATAAGCTATATCTTTAATCTTTAATAAGTATATAATATGAACCTAACAGTGATTATTAATTTACATGGGAAAGATACATCAATGAATATAATATAGTAATTTTCACAAAAGCTTCAATTTATAAAATAGTATATGTTTAACTATTACTTAAAATGAAGAGCTACCTGGAAAACAACTCTGTGTTCAAAACTGCAGAAATCGATAACCAGGTATATATGAGAACTCCCATTTTTATTGTTCTCTCGTTCCTTGATTTTCTCCATGGATTTGAAAGCAAGGCGGTCCAACCAATCAACTCGTTGTATCTGTCCACGCTCATACTTATTCACAAGCTTTTCCAAGCGTTCCAATTCCCCACGTTCCTCCTTAGGAACCTATTGGAGTCAAGCAATGGTTAGGCCTTATGCCATTGTAAAAGCTAATAAAATTAAGCAATCAACCCAACTTAAGAAATTAACAAAAAGCACTCATAGGAAAAAGATTGAAGGAAACCTTTCCAGGAGTTGTAGTATGAATAGACCCATCTGCCTCTTTGCCAGACCAAAGTCTAAGCTTATGCTTCCCTGTTTTCAGTTGCTTTTTCATGTTAAAAAGATGTATGGTAGCCCCACCAATTACTCCCTCGCTCTTTCCACATGAAACATCCCAAACCTGCAGTAGCAGAACAAAATAATAATAACTAAACAAAAGCACACTACAGCTGTCATCTTAATATCTTATCATTAGAACAAGAGCTTCTTTGGTGCAAAATCAATAACACCTGAAGAAAATATCAAAAGGAAACATGATGTAGGATTTCCACATACCATTTAGAATACCTTATACCTGCTTTTTAAGAAAAAAGTATCTCAGCTATTTATACTTATATATGCTACTATAAAGCATGGGATATTGCTTTACACTATCTAAATGTTTCTCATCGTTGCAGTGATTAAACTTACTCCACAAAGAAAGCAAAACAAGTTTGAATGCCCAGAAACAAATGATGAAAATGAAATCCTGGATTCTGAAAGCATGCTAAAAATTGAGTCATGCAACCAAATCCAATGACTCGAATTACAATCAATAAAGAAGTGTCTACAAGCTACAAAAACGTTGGATTTTTTGCCAAAATAGATGTGATATATAACTAAAACACATTCACTCACAGTAAGTGCAAGCTGTGAATTTGCAGTTAGGTCTCTATACTTTGTACTCAATGTGATAAGCTCATTCCAGCAGTAAGATGGACCTCTTGATTCCAGCCTACAAAAATAAAAATAAAAATCTTCATGAACACTGAATTATCTAAACAGAGACTCAATTATTTCACTGACGTTGAATTAAACACAGAAAATATGGAGCAAATCATCAAAACTGAAACCTAGTTCTCATGGGAAGTCCAAAGGGAGCGCCATCGATGTACAATGTGCTCTCTACATACAACTCGGGCTTCCTATCGTCGATTGCATTCATCATAGTATCAACACCATCTGAGAAATCGAAACAAGACAACTATTAACTGAACCTCTCCTGCAATTCAATGTTTGTAGGCGAATCTCAGTGCTATAAATTAACAGAACCTGAGCCGGGGAGCTTAGGTGGAGGCAATTTTCCTTCGAGACGTTCAATCCGGAACGTGACCGGAAGATTGATGTCGCATGATAGGAAGAACCTGAACTCGTTTCCACTCATTGTTTTCATTACAATTTGATTAGGGTTCAGACTTTAGAAGCTGAGGTTTTCATGGTTTTGTATGCATTACCGTGAAAATCGACGATTTAAAGTATAATTGGGTTTCAAATAAACCCTCTGACGTCGGAAACTCTGTCGTACGTCGGGTCGGAGAGAGCTGATAAAACTTTCAGTTCACGGCATTAGAAACGTGGTATTGGAAGCCTATTTAATTCTCCTTTTGGACCTTGTATTTTATAACTAATTTTATATGGCACCCCTATTCTTCTTTTATTACAACATTCCTCCTATAAACAATTAAACTTTTTCAAAATATAGCCATTTTTTAATATTACGAGATGTAAAAATAATTAAGAAGACTAACCAGCGAAATAAATGGAACTACCGAACAATTATTGTTTAACTCTGCAATTTAACAACTAATAAAAATATATAGTGAGAAATATGGTAACAAGTTCGAGTTCACATTGATAATTTTATATATACATCGTCCACTATTCATCCATGGATAGTTACATGGGGGATTACTCGTGTAAGGCAATTACTAATAATCAAATAATTTTTAATGATATAAAACTAAAAGTTTTGTTTATTGAAATTTAACAGTCATACTCATACTAGAAACAATTACTAAAACTTATAGTATCCCCACCATGATTTGTGGTTAGGTTTTTGAAAAAACAAAGATGATGTGTAGGATATAGAATAGAAAAAAAAAAAAAAAAAAAAAAAAAAAAAAAAAAAAAACCCAACAAAACCTTGATTTTTGACAGATGAGTCGGTCCCGCGTGGAGGATGGAAGGCACACCCCTGAATACACCTAGCGGGCACGTAATAGTTCATGTTTTTTTTTTTTTTTTGTCAAACCTTTGTTTTTCTTTATTTTTTCTCTCCCCTTTCATATTTTCTTTCCTACTTACACCTGTAAAAACTCTTCAAAAATCGTAACGGTTGAGAATACTCTTAAACAATGTTATGTTTAATAATTTGTCTTATATACTGACAAAACATGATTAGACTTTTACTTGAAAAACATATTAAACATGATAAATACAAAATAATTGATAAACATATTTGTTGAGGACTTGAGGCAATGTTTACTAAACCTTTAATCAAAATTTCTACAAAGATTAGAACACCTCCATCTACTATATGCTACCACAAGCATTATATTACCCTAGTGAACACATAAGGTCCAAAGTAAAATAATCTTAAACAACCACTAACTCTCTAAGATGAACCCACCAAGATCTATAGGAAAGTCCACAATCGCTACTCAAGTGCGCGTTATGCGTGAAGTCCATTGTATGACCTTAATCGACAAAGAACTATAAAGATGTATACCAAACCGAAAAGGACAATAGGCAACTCCCACAAAAAGTCAAACTTAGAACATTGTGATTATCAAACCAATTGTTTGACTAACTCGGTTAGAGTTTTTTGACCCCCCCCCCCCCCCCCCCCCCCCAAAAGCGAGTCCGTCACACATATCTTCCTAGTATGGTGTGTCTCTCTTGTGCAGTTTGCATACTATTACACAAGAACTAAGTTTACCCCATGCAGACTTTCAAGTAGTGGTTGCACTTCATTAAAAAAAAAAAAAAAAACAAAAAAAAAAAAGCACCCCCCCCCCTAGGCGAGTCCGTCACACATCTTCCTAGTATGGTGTGTCTCTCCTGTACAGTTTGCTGACTATTACACAGGAACTAAGTTTACCCCGTACAGACCTTCAAGTAGTGGTTGCAGGGTTCGCTCGTCACCAAAAAAAAAAAAAAAAACATAATTTGTTTTATCACTTCACTACAACTGAATACAGAATACAGAAGTTATTTTCACCATACAGAAATTAGGACACTAAGGTAATCTGGGAAATTTAGAGAAATCTGGTGGCCTGCGCTGCACATAGGCATTCTTCCCCTCATTGCCTTCATCAGTTCCATAAAATAGTAGAGTTGCATCCCCTCCCAACCCCTGAATGGCATTCATGAAGAGTAAACTATATTTAGCAATTCACAGACACCTGCTGATACTGAGTAGCTAGTGCATCTCTTGCTATTTTTAACTGGCAGTATAGTTGAATCCAGAAAGAGTTTACCTGAAGTCCAGCATGCCCATCATCGACAGCATTGAGAGCTGATTTAAGCACCCGTATTGCAGTCGGGCTGTTTCTTAGGATCTCTCGACACCATTTGATGGTTTCTTGTTCCAGGTTCTCCAACTGAAAGACGATTAGATTGTGTTAGTTAGTGAATGCTTGCTAAGAAAGCGTAGCAGCACCTATGACTAAAAACGCTAGAGTTCTTCTTCTGCTACACAAAAACGTTAACGTTGTTCATGAGAAAGACGTGCTGCTAATCTCTTCAAGTAAACTCTGATAGATCACAACTGGCGCAATTAGAAAGAGAATATCAGTTACTCTTCCATTTTGGTATAGATGAACTCACCGGGACAACAGTGTTTACAAGTCCCATTTTCTCTGCATCAGAAGCGGTATAAAACCTTGTCAAAAACCACATTTCACGAGCCTTCTTCGGACCAACCTGTCCAACCAACAAAAAGAAAATCGATAACAGAAATTCACAGAAAGATGCATGTTAGGGTTAAGCCATTTGATTCATCCTTGTCACCTTCAGCTCAACATATGTTTTATATTCACAATTGCTTTAATGGAAAGAAATGGTGCAAATAAACATATTTCTATTTGAATCTCACCAAACGGGACATTATGGAACTTCCATAACCAGCGTCGAAGCTGCCTACCTGCAATTTGTACATAAGCATAAAATGGATATATTTTGGCATCAGATAGATTTTATGTCCCCGGTGGCAGGTTAGTACAACTAATTGAAGCATGTGATACATCTCAACTAAAAGTCTAAGCTCATAGTTGGATTGCACATTTTATGTTTTGTTATATTATATGCTCAACACAGCTTAAGGATTTTTGTTCGATATACTATAGCGGTGGAAGTAAGATAAGATGTACAACCAAGAAACGAGAGAAAGAAAACCTTTGGACCGGTCTGACCAAATATAGCATTATCTGCTGCAATCGTTAGATCGCAAACCATGTGCAACACATGCCCTCCCCCAACAGCATAACCTGCAACCTTGTTTTTGGACAAGAGGGAGATGCGTGTTCCCAAAGTGAATCTCAGAAATAGTACTCCAAAACAAAGCTTTGATGGCAGAAATGAAGAGAACGAGGGACAAAAAGTGACACTTTACCATTGCTATTACTGGTTTTGGAAGACGGCGAATTTGAACCTGCATTTCAAGGCAAAAATCTTTGACAAAATGAAGTAATGAATCAGATGCAGGTAACGTGAAACTAGTTGTGAAGCTTTTCACTGGCTCCTATTGCTCATTTGGCAACTTCTAGGTCAATAGGACAGAAAAATGGCAAACACTAACAGTCAGGCTAGTAACTATATCACAAAACAGTCATGATTTCAAGTATACACTTCATTTGCTCAGTTTTGGAGTTTAAATTCATAAATCCAAAACCCGGGATTTAAGGAGGTGACATATCAAACTATAAAAGAAAATCGAATTCACTAAATAAAAAGAAATACGTAACATAGTCTAGATGCAGATGTAGCCAAGGGGAGCAAATTCAATGTTATGTAAACAGTTAAACATCAAGATTACATCATTATACTGTACCTGTAAATCCAAAACATTGAGACGGCCAAAACTTTCATAATCTACATAGCCATCCTTGTTTCTTAATGCCTGATCACCACCGCTACAGAATGCCTTAGTCCCCTGCCGCAAGACATATAAAGGCAAATATGATAAATTCATCAACAAATCATGCATTTAAAAAGCCATACACAAGATGACTCTTGAAATGTTTAACCAATAGATCAATCAAACAATTAATTAGTGAAGCAAGAACGAAAAACACACACACACATTTAGGTCCATCTATGACAAAGGAACCAGTACATATCAGGGCAGGAAAGAGTTTAGAGATCTTCAACAGAAAATGTTAAAAGCATAGGCACTCTTTCCAGAACATAGGGCTTTCTTTTTCTCTTTTTAAACTTATCACAGGTTAAGGATCAAACTGTTTTCCATAATATCAAAAAATTGTTCTTTAGGGGAAACCCAGCCAAGTTGGTCAAACTGTTAACTTAATAACTACAACTCTACAAGGTTACAAGTTTGACTCCCAGCAGATTTATGTCCTTTGCCGGCTAGGTCATAAGACTGGGTTTACAAATACACACCCTCGGTAGTGGTTGCAGGTTTCCATTGTCACTAAAAATAAATAAAAATTTCTTCTTTAACCCAATTTTCAGCAATCCCAACCTCAGACAGTAGTGTAATCAACACTGTTTCAAATAGTTAGATATTGTTGAAAACCTATGAAATTATAGATCATCTTTCTTTTTTCTGTATCAAATATGAGAAATTAGTAGAATTACAGAGTTACCTTCCCTGTGAGAATGATGACCCCCACAGAACCATCATCCCTGGCATCATTAAATGCACGAATAAGTTCCTTAACTGTATGAGGCCTGAAAGCATTCCTTCTTTCTGGTCTATTAATGGTTATCTGTCAGAGGAAAACAAAACGAGAATATATGAAACAGAATCTTTTTGTAATCCAGAGAATGCTATACAAATCTTATTTTTCCCTATTTTCTGCCATTATTTTCTATTCTTATTCTCGTTTATCTCAACAATTACAACTCTTAAATGCTTAAACCTTCTACTGATCAACTATCATACTCAAATATGAGCTTGAATTCTTTTCTTTTGTACTGAATTTCAAGAGTTTATTACAAAAGTTGTGAATTGAACTTTCCCAATAAAAAAAACATAGAATTCCTTTCTTTGATTGCCCGGTTTAGCATTGTTGAGCCATGTAATCCAACTATACGCTTAGGCTTTTAGTTGAGATGGAGGACGTGCTTCAATTTGGTATCAAAGTCGGTCAATCTCTACTACGGTCCACGTATTGCTTAACCCACCGCACACGTAAGAGGCAGTTGAGATGGAGCACATGCTTCATCTAGAGCATATTGAAAAATGAAAATGCAAAATATGTAAGGGCAAGCACATTGTAGTACCTTAGCAATGGCTTCTCCGACGGCTTTCTCGTAGATGATATCAGTGAAGTCCTTGCCGGAGTCATCGGAAGGGACCAATCTCCAAGCGGGCGCGTGAGCGGGGACTTCGCCGTGAACTCTGTGGTAGGTGTCGTTGATGGACGAGCTGCAACTCGAGGAGCCAATTGAGGGGAGAGAAGAGCAGGGAGGTGGTTGCGGCGGCAGGAGGTGATTGGCGACGGACGCCACCCTCCTTGTGACGGTGGTGATGAGGGCCTTCTCTGATGCTCCCGACATTGCTCGGCGTAGTGAGTGGGTGGTTCCCACGGAATTTGAAGAAGAGCAGCAATGGCGGAATGCGAGTGGTGCTGTCACTGATGATTGGACGATCGGATCAGATAAGATAATGGAATTTAGTTTTTGGATTTTGGCGCCTTCTGAATCACAAATAAGTATCGGTTCTTTCTATCAGGTAAGCCCAGAATATATACGTCAAAAATTTGGAGTATAAAATAGAAGTTCAAGTATTTTTCTTTTAAAAAAAGAACAGATATATGCATTATGAAAAGTAAAATCTTGTGTGTTGTGTTTTTTTGTGATTAGGGAAACTCAATGCGATTTTATTGAAGGATAGATATATTTTTATTTTTGTTAAAGAATATAATAATTTAAAGTTCAAATAAATTTAGACTCAAATATCTTAGTTATAGAAATTTTTTATACTTTTTTTGTTATTTTTCTGAGGTCTTTTAAAATTATATTTTTGTCTCTAAAAATACATAGTGTCCCTATTTTTCATGGAACACCCATGCTAACGTGACAATATTGGTATTATTGCTCTATGTATTGTGTTTATTCATGAACTTTGATTTTGTATCCGCGATTTTCTTCACATCTTTTATCATATATATATATATATACTATTTACTCATTTTGAGTCATATTAAAGTTAATTTATAATTAATTATTAATTATAATTATAATACATCACGTCAATAAATAATAGTTAATTTCAAAATACATTCAATATTACTCACAATTACATGAGAAAATTCGTATTGTGTCCCCACGTGTTTGACACACTAATCATGTGAAATGGAGGAGTCGCAAATGGTGCTTCAAGACAATGATTAAAACTATATTTAGTGAGAATTGAAGAAAGAAATTTGGAAGTTCATACTAGTCAGAATATTCCCTCCTCTTTGGTAACTCTTCCTAACGTGATTGAAGGGGTGGTGAGATTGTTTGTAGATGCTGCCATTTTTCCTAACTCTGATCATGGGTATTTTGGTGTGGTAGTTGTTCTAGATGGGGATGGTAGTTTCTTGTCTGCTAAAAATAGTTCATTTCGTTGCTTGAATGATGCTCATCTTGCTGAGGCCATGGCTGTGAAAGAAGCGTTATCGTGGGCCAAGGATCAGGGACGGAGTCAGAAATTCGGTTGAGGGGGGAGGGGGGGGGCGAAGGATTCAGAATTTTTTTTCTTAAAAATGCGACTGTGTTGAAACCGTAGGGAATGAGTCAAAAAAACTGTTGAAGCCAACTATAAAGAAATATGTCAATGCCAAGATTCAAACCTTTATCCTTTATCATCATAATAACTCAATATGTGCTCAACCAATACATCTAAATCAACTTTCATTAACACCTAATAGTTTTATTTTACTAATACTAACACATATACTATATATACATATATACATACAAAAATTATATATGCGGTGAGGGTGGGGTGAGGGGGAGCTGACCCCCCTGCCCCCCTTTGGCTCCGTCCCTACCAAGGATAGACATTATGATAAAATAATGGTCTTGTTTGATTGTCAAATGGTATGCAATTTTATTAATGGGTCCGCGGTGAATTTATCGTATGTCGATTGTGTGATAAAAGAGATTAAAGATCATCAAAGACACTTTAAAGTAGTGTCCTTCAGATTCATTTTTAGATCAGTAAATAAAATTGTCCATGCTTTAGCAAAGATCGCGCTTTCGCAAACTAGTCATTCTGTTTGGTTTTCCTCTATTCCCTCATGTATTGAACATTTGATTTAATAAATTTCATTCCTTTGTTTTCAAAAAATTTGGAAGTTCATTTGCGTTGAAACACGAGTTTTACATGGTGTTGAGTACAACCCGCACTTAACCTCAAATGCCACAATCACTCCCAAGTCTTTCAAATATAATAACTACCAATAATAGCAAATTCAGTCCTCTTGGCTAAATGAATCTCACAAGCATATTTCATTGGCTGAAATCATCTTAGTTAAATAAATCTTGCCTAGAATTTATTTAGTTTCTCTGATCAATTATACCATCAATAACATTTTTACATACCCCATTGTTGTGCAATTGATGAACTTGTCAATAGTATCGTAGTTTAACAATTAGAAAGAAGATACTTTTATATGCACCCATGAATCTTTTGGCTTTTGCCATTTATTAATTAAGTTACCTTAATAAAGAATTCTTTATAGAGAATTCTATAATACATATTTATATCTTAATACATACTCTATGAAAGATTATTAATGGTAGTGAAAAACCTAGCTTTCTCCCTCTCATATCCAATTAGTGTCAATGAATATTTATATTTTACAACATAGTACATACTCTATTAGTGACAATGTACATGACTAGAATATTGCTTTTCTAAAAAGATATCTAACATTTTCCTTTTAAAAAAACATGAATTGTTTTTTTTTTTTTATTTATTTGAGTGACAAGGAAAATCCGAACCCACTACTTGAGGATGTGGAAAAGATAAATCTCGCCTTGTGACCCTAGTCCACAAAGAACCACAAACAAGTAAACCAACATAGATTGCACAAACCAAAAAGGCCAATAGACCACTTCTGCTAAGAATCAAACTTGTAATCTTGAATTGTTTTACATACTACTATATTACCTTAGGGAATGTTAGATTCCTGTGTTTGGTTTAAAATTAAGATACGTAAATAAGACAACAATAATAAGATAAATTGATTAAAAAATACAAAGCCCAACATTTAGTAATAAGACAAGGGAATGATTACCTAAGAAATTGGAGGATATCTCACATTTCCTTCCAATAGCTAAAAACTTAATGCGGAGGTTATCTGACATTCCCTGGGAAAGTTATATAACCCGAACCAAACACATGAATCTTATATTACCAAGCAAATATAACCTTGGCTATCTTATATAACCTGAACCAAACGCCCTTGTAAAGGTAACTTTAAAGAACACTAAATTATGCCTTTTGTTTTTATCACATTTGAACTAAATATTTATGGAAACTGTGAGAAATATAGTTGAGGGAAAACCACAAAACATCATGCATGCATGGATCATAGAAAAGAAATGGATGGAAATTTGGTTCTCCCAAAATGGGGTATCAAGAAAGCTTGTTTACTATTCCACACCTTTCACTCACACCATTGTTTTTCAAGTTAAATATATATATTCTTTCAACTGTAAGGGGTATTATGGTTTGGTTGATGATATTTCAAGACAGATAAACCCGGACAGTAGTGGCCGTAACCATTTGGCACACGGGGCAGACACTCACCGACCCCTCACAATCTACACACAAACACAGGTGCCTGCAAGGCAACAATAAGATGGATACCTCCTTCGATTTGCAGCCTCTGCAAATCAACAACTCCCTCGCTTGTTGTGGTGGTGGTTTTGCGGGACTCCCACCACCCCCCGCCCCGACGCTTAGGCCGAACTTGGGGTGGACCCCGCCGGAGGTAGCATCGTCCATCTCCATCTCGCTGTCCCCAAACCCTTCCTTGGCTTGGTCCGCGCTGTGCATTGCACGTTGGAGGTTGGCTTTCAGCATCGTAGCTACAGACTCGTTGTACTTCGCCCTGTAGCACCAGTTCTGGGCTTCTGAAGCCGTTTGCTTGATTCTGTCGATAAGTTCCTTGTTTTTCCGGTTTATGTTCTCGAGCTCAACATCCTTCTCGTGCAGCTTATTGCTAATGCCTTTCTGCATCACACCCAGAAATGAAGCCATGTGTCTACGCTTTATCTCCCGAAGCCCTTTTGTCAGAGTTTCTTCCTGTTAAAGGACAGCACAGGATAAGCAACAACACGAAACGTTCCCATAAAACAACAAATTATGAAAGTATATCAACCCATCAAGACAACAAATTATGAAAGTATATATATACAAAGGAGCCTTTGCCCTTTGACATGTAAAAGATGATTCTTTAATCCTTCCATGCTTACCATCTGGACTATAAAAGTTAATTGGTTCATCGCTTTTCACGATTTTTCATTATTGTGCATGCACACGGATCTACATATAACTTAGCACACACAGTCATGCACACTGGGCCCCACAAACGACTAAAATACGTGGTAACTGGTTCATGTCCAAGAGATCAAGAATGGCATCTTTTACTAAAGATATAGTAAGTTTGCAACTATGATGAATTTGAAAAGGAAGGATATTTGTGACGGGAACTGGATCATAACTAAGAATTGAGAATCTATTTTGAGATATAGTGACTATTTAGGAAGGAAACATTAATAGCAACTCTGATGTTAGCCGATATATATTACCTGAGTCTTCAGATACTGATCAAACTCTCTCTTTTGGTTGTCAAGTTCTGTTTTAAAGTCGTCAGTAAGAGATAACATAACCGACGATGAAGCATTCATACTTCCACTTGATGTGACAGAAGAGTTGCGCTCATCATCATCGTACGACAACCTTAAACCAGTCGAAACTGGATTGTGGGCGGCGGAGATCCTCACCGGTGGATCAGCTTCATCGAGGCCGACGTTATTATTCAGGGAAATCTGAAGCTTCTGTTGCATTGGTATGGTCTCCGCATCCTTGACTCGTTTGTTAGGCCTAACTAGAGCCGTGTTATGCTCGCCCCCAAAATAATTTGTTGGATTGACGTTGAATCCAACGGGTACTGTGGCTTGATCAATGTTAGATTAAACGATTAAGATCCCAAGAATATGCTTACTATTTCAACAAAACGAATAGCAGCATCAAGAAATACCATGATCACAGACTAAAGATGTAACATGACGGAACTCAATCTAAAGGTCAATAACGTGTTACCTATTTATCTTGCTCGGAGAGAAAGAATTAGTCATATCCAACAATTATTATTCTACTATATTTGACACTAGATGTTTTTCCTTTAACATATCCCGATACTTAAAGATTTTATTACTCTTTGGATATGGCACTTCATTTACTAAGCATTACCCTAGTTAGCAATAAGCCACTCCCAAGCATTTGACATGAAGAGAGAGTACACATATGGAAGGGCGAGGGGCACAAGAAAATTATGGATTATGGAGTAATGTTTAGTGTTCATTCATGGAAATCTTAAAAGCGGTAAAAGAAACAAAAAAAAAAAAAAAAAAAAAAGGAAACAAAAGTTAACAAATTCTTCAATTTGGACAAGTGTAAGTACGCGATTATAAGCACAAAGCAACGCTAATGTTTCAAAAAGCAACGAAAAAAGCAAACACTAGCAAGAAACAAACACCTATGACACTATATGCGATGATATTTAAATCAAAATATCAAAACGGGCTTGACAGAATAAGCAGGAACATACAGTTTCCAAATAACTGCAGCTGATTTGATGTGTTAGTAGGGTACTGGAAGGCGTTCTCGTTGAGGAAAACAGGAAGCGTGTTATTGTTGTTGTTTTCTCCCAGCATTTTGCACAGTAATTATTTAAGCACACAAACGATTGGAAATCCGGCTGCAGAAGACAAGGAAAGCATATTTACTTAGTAATCTAGCCTCGACTTCAATTGTTAAAGCAGCTCAAGATGCATATTAATTATTCAGTGCCATTTTAAAAGTTTTAGAACCTAATGAGATCTTTTAGTAACGATGATCATGAAGTGCAGCAATCCTAAGTCCTAACCTACAAAGATTCCAAGATGCCATGAATCAGAAAATACATAATCAGCTCAAACAATGGTTAATTGTACACTAAACCGTAAAAAGGAGACAGAAAGGTTGTGGCCACTGGCCAGTTCACTACTTGGCTCTGTCATCTACCCTACATTCATGAAAAAAGCATATTGATATTCCACACTAATCCATCAAGAAACGGGAGGGGTTAATTCAAAGAGGATATGCCGAATGAGAATTTAGGAGAAACATATGCAGACTTCATGTTAAAACCAAGATTTTCTCCAATGCAAAATGCAGTAAAACAGATTGGGATCACTTAAACTCAAGAAGTATTTTAGGCTCATAACTTCAACAACATGTCAACATAAAGCCCGAGGACCAAAAAACCAATAAAATCACTCTTTTCTGTACAAGTATTAAAATGCAGCAATTTACAATTGCAAAGGCCATTTCTTGTTCTTCTGTTTTCCTCATCCACCAATTGACCCAAAAGAAGAAAAACCATTACTTTCACTCAAGCAGGGGAAATGAGAGAAATGCAATAAATCAACTAGTGAATAAAATCTTTGTTTGCCTCATAGTTTTCATCAAAATCAGCACTTGATCAGTTGATCACACTAAATTCACATCATCATACAAGAGGAAACAGAAACACAACAAAGCACAGCATCAACGATCCAACAACTCCCACAGACCCACAGAATCGATCTTTAAACCCATCATGCTTCCCTATGAATGATTGATCACAGCAGGAGTTCAAAAACCAAACGATATAAATAGAAAATTACCCAAAAAAGCAAATTTCCAATTCAAGACAACAACTCCTTATCGATCCTGCAAATTATAGTCAATCAATCAAATAAAGATACAAACTTTAAACACCGGCATACCCCAATCACCAGAATCAAAAACCAAAAAAAGTATACCCCATTTGAAGATCAGAAGAGCAGCATCGATGAAGCGGAGAGAACAAGAGATCTGGGAGTGATCTAGAAATGCTAGAGTGATGAATAAAGGGATTGGGAACTTGAGGAGTAACCGATGACGGTTTTCAAGGATTAAAAAAGACGAAATTATGCACGAGTTTTGGCAAGGAGGATGGGAGGGAGTTGGGTAGTGGTTACGCGGATTGGTGTTGAACGGATAGCGGGTGAGGAAGAAAAGGCCAAAGGATGATGCAGAAGGTGTGTCAAGAACAGCAAAGCTTCTTTATTTCGCAAAAATGGAAAAAATAAATAAATGATATATAAATGGAGGAGAAAACGTCGAGTGACAGGGCCACCCGCCCAACGCCTTAATGCTAAACAGGATTCCATGAATCATGCACAGCTTTATCTTAGAATATCCAAAAAAATCCTCAAAATTATTGTTGCCAATGTTGACATATTTACACACATTCATCCTTATATTTTTTTAAAAATACTTATATTGTCGTAAATATATGTTCTTATTCAGTTTGAGCCCTAAACTTAATGGCTCTTCATCGCTTCCTACTTCTGAAGATTAGTGAATGAGATAAAATGTGAAAACGTCTCAACTGGACTTACAGATCTGTAAATATTTATAAACTAGTGTTTACAACAATACCAAATCCTACATTATGCAACTACTAGGAAAATAAATATTATAAACTTATTTTAGATTGATTGACTAGTTGAGTAGTGTCCTGAGAAAAATATATATTTTTATTATTGGTATTGAAAGACTAATGGTTTCTCTATATGTGGACATATATATTAAGTTAATCAGCCACAAGTCCCACAATTAAAAACACTTGAAGCTACGAGCATGCTAAATGCTCACATCTTGTGAAGGTCTTTAAGGTCTATTTTTGTTTTGAATCAATGTAAAATTATGCCTCTCATTGTCTTACAATCTCCCGTTGAGGTGTAAGCAAGTTAGATTATTGGTAAGCTATTAACAAATACGGAGTATTGGAGTTTGAGCAATTATAGTAACGAGTCGAGCTTCTTAATACTCGAGTCAAGTAGCTTGCAAACCTAATTAAGCTCTTTATTCATTTTACAAAAAATTACACTTTTCGTCTTTTAAGTTATAGGATAAGAGTTTTTTGCACTTTTAGTCCCACGACTATAGTGACACCGGCAGAATTGATCCACGACTTTTGAACCTTGCAATTTTAGTCCACGACTATTGATTTTTTTGCAAAAATGGTCCTTCCGGCCACTTTTCCGTCAAAATTTCACCGGAAAAAAAATATTCTTCATTTTTAGCCGGGTTAAAATTGACATTTTACTTATCTCAACAAATTAAAAGAAAAAAATTGATATTTGACTACATACAATATTACTGGGCTACATACTACTGTCCCAGACGGCGGAGTTCCTGGAGCAGGCAGGGCTGTCAGTAAGCGGCGGAGCGGCCGTGGCATTCCCCGGGCTAGTTGGGTTATCCGGCAACAGCTTTGGACTGGTACATGTACTCCGCCGTCGCATTTAACCCAGCTAAAAATAGAGAATTTTTTTTTCCGGTGAAATTTTGACGAAAAAGTGGCCGGAAGGACCATTTTTGCAAAAAAATCAATAGTCGTGGACTAAAATTGCAAGGTTCAAAAGTCGTGGATCAATTCTGCCGGTGTCACTATAGTCGTGGGACTAAAAGTGCAAAAAACTCTATAGGATAATTATAAAATTCGCTCATAAGTGTTAGTTTTGCTTACTTTTCGTCCCTAAGCTATCATTGGTGTTTCGTTTTTTTGTCCTTTTACTAACAAAACATTAGGAACGAAAAGTGAACACTAGAAGTTAGCTTAGGAATGAAAAGTGCAACGCCAATGATAATTTAAGGGCAAAAAGTAAGAAAGACCAACACTTATGAATAAATTCTACAATTATCCTATTATTTAGGGGTATAACTTTATTTTAACGAACTCACAACCTCCCATATGCCACAAGCGGCTCGAACTCACAACCTCTCATATGCCACAAGGTCTTGGCATAGTATAACTTTATTTAATTTTATTTTATTTTTTTACATTTTCAACCTAAAGAATCTGTGAGCATATATCCATTAATGTGTATCCAACTATCAGCTTAAGCTTTTAGTTGAGATGGAGCACATGCTTCAATTTGGTATCAGAGCCAGACTAAAGGTCATGGGTTTGAATCTCAACGCCACTCGTAAGCGGGCGTGTGAGCATGAGCATATAGCCATTAACGTGCAATCCAACTATCAGCTTAGGCTTTTAGTTGAGATGGAGCGGGCGTGTGAGCATGAGCATATAGCCATTAACGTGCAATCCAACTATCAGCTTAGGCTTTTAGTTGAGATGGAGCACATGCTTCAATTTGGTATTAGAGTCAGACCAAAGGTTCCAAAGGTTATGGGTTCGAATCTCAACGCCACTCATAAGCGATTACGGTTTACCGGTCCACGTGGGTTCGAATCTCAACGCCACTCATAAGCGACTACGGTTTACCGGTCCACGTGTTGGTTGGAATCCACCATACACGTGAGGTGTATCCAACTATCAGCTTAGGCTTTTAGTTGAGATGGAGCACATGCTTCAATTTGGTATTAGAGTCAGACCAAAGGTCATGGGTTCGAATCTCAACGCCACTCATAAGCGACTACGGTTTACCGGTCCACGTGTTGGTTGGATGTGTATCCGCTTAGGCTTTTAGTTGAGATGGAGCACATGCTTCAAGCTTCAATTGAATCTAAGTCCTTTAGTTGAGATGGAGCACATGCTTCAAGCTTCAATTGAATCTAAGTCCAGGGGGCGTGTGAGCATATATCCATTAATGTGTATCCAACTATCAGCTTAGGCTTTTAGTTGAGATGGAGCACATGCTTCAAGCTTCAATTGAATCTAAGTCCCCACCATTGAGGTTCAAACCTTTGACCATTCACTTGAATGGATAATCGGAATGAAGTCCCCACCATTGAGGTTCAAACCTTTGACCATTCACTTGAATGGATAATCGGAATGCCATCACACTGTATAGTAATATATTTATATAGTCTAAAATGGATATAATTGGGATTAATATATGATTGTTGTTATAATATTTTATTGTAAACTATTTATTATTTTAATCTTTTGTACTAAAATATAAATTTTGAGTTTATTCGAGCTAAGTTTGAGCTCAAAAAATCAAAGATCATCTAAACTCAAGCTGGAGTACCAATTTCAATCCTTGACCACTCAAACTCGACTCAATTACACCCCTAATCTTCGATTTTACACTCCTCTAATAAATTCAACACCCCTTTATGTGGTAATTTAGATTAAGAAATTATATTTAAAATAATTATTGCTCTAATTTGTTTTAACGTCAATTTTAAATTATTAAAAAAGCTAAATGCATGTTATTTATTTATTTATTTTAGGGAAAATTGTAATGTATGTCTCTCACAAATATGTCAATTTTGAATTATTAGTGGTGTAAATGTTACCCTTCAATTTTCAAAACGTGACATATATTGCCCCTACCTTGATCGGAAAAAGGGGAAACATTGTTGTCAGCGGAAGGAGAACAAATGAAGAAAGAAAAATTGAAGAAAAATATGGTTTTCGAACAGGAAAAACGACAGATAACCACATTTGCACCATTAATAATTCAAGGGAGGGACAATATATGTCAGGTTTTGAAAATTGAGGAGTAATATTTACGTCACTAATAATTCAGGAATGACATTGATAATATAATTGGCATATTCACCTTTTTTTTTATAATAGTGTATAGAATTCTTAATATTTTCTCTTGGGGTGGTTGAGGTAGACTCAACTATTCATGTCAGGCAGATGGGAAGAAATTTGAATTTTGAAAGGTAAGAATTGAAGAAATCTAAATGAGAAAAATGAAAATGAAGAAAGTATGCGGCATTAAATTTACAAGAAGAAGCAGATATTTGTCTTCAATTTTCAGCGGTGTGGGTGGTCAACACGGACAACAATATACAAGAATAATAGCAATATTATTATTATTATTAAAAATAAAATTTTTATAAATAAAATTAAATAATATGAATGCTGATTATACTATAAATAAAAAGCGACGGACATTCTAACAATATCCCTTTAATTACTCTTCTCTCAAAAGACTGAATCCACAATTCTAAAGGGATTCCACACGTTCGTCAGAAATTACAATGACTCAATGGTTTAGCAGACAGAACTAAATGACGCCGCCGAGGCGCCGAGATTCGTACTTTAATTTTTTCTTTCAAATATTGTCCACTGAACCATTAAGCTAAGCTCGTGCGGACTATCTCTTTAATTATTGAAACGCTAATTGAACGTTACCTATATGGAATAATCCACTAATCCAGTTTTTGCTTCGTGCTTATCACAAACCTAATTTTACGACATTTGGATATGACAACTCTGAAGTTGGAATCAATAAAAAAAAAACTTATAATAATAATAATAATGAGAAAATATTAACTCAATGGGTGATACTGTGATAGACAGATGGCCTCGGTTCATGAAATTGTGTTGATCAATTTACATTACTAAAATATTTATAATAATTTGTAATAAAAAGTTTTCGCGAAACGTTTTCTGTTACAATTCATAACCATTTTGAGTTTTGTTACAATTTTGCAACGAAACGAGAAATCCGTTGCAAACATGGTGGAGCAAAGCACAGAAAATGTGGTGAGTTTGGTCGGAAATACACTTGTAACGAAAAATAAGTGGATTGCAACGTAACAGTTGTAACACATTTTGTAACGAATATAAGAACGATTGTAAATATTTTTTTTTTTATTTTTAAAAAAATAATTATGTTACAATGAACTTACTAACTTAGTAATATCAACGATGAATTTCATAATAGATACTCCGTATAAAATAGCAATAGATATATTTGCAACATAATTTAACAATATAGTTCATCTAATCAGTAAGTCAGATCAGTAACAAATCACTAATGTTGATCGAAGTGACTATTAAAGCATTATTATTCTATCCTAATTCTTATCATATCAAAATTTATTCTACCATTAATTTGCATTATTCTCATTATTTTCACCATTAATAAGCTCATTGTTACTCTCCATGAATAGCCATTGCACCATATTATTTCACCATCAATAGCAATTATCCAATATCCGCCACGATTGCCTAAAAGGCTCCACAATTAATAGTAAAGAGATATGGTATCGGGTGCCGTACGAGCTTGACGCACTAATTCGGTAGATAATATCCGGGAGTCGAGACCAATAATATTCAAACTTCGGCAGCGGTAGTGTGGGGATTATGCCTAAATTGAGTAGATTCTTTGTGTGCACCTGCATTTGGCTCTGTCTGTTGCGCCATTGAGTCACCGTGATTTACATCCTTCCAA